AAAACCAAAAAAACAGGTTTGGCTGAGTTTTAGATACATAATTTCTGCTTAGTTGTATACAATGTTACCAACCTGTTTTAGGAGATTATCGCACCGCTAATAAAACCGGTTTACCTGAGCCAGCTTAAAACTTAAAATGGGTGGCATCCTGATGTTAGAAGGATTTAGCTGCCTAAATCGCCATCTGGGTCCAGCCTGGGTCCAGCCCCGCTCCAGAGCTGCTCCGGCGGCCATTTCCTTAAGCTGGAAAACTCCTGGCTTTGAAAAGAGGTGTGCTGAGCGCCCCTGCGAGCGGAGAGGGACCTAGGCAGGACCCGGGTGGTGATTTCGGCAGCTAAATCCTTCCGATAACATCAGGATGCCACCTGTTTTAAATTTTAAGCTGGCTCAGGTATGCCAGTTTTATTAGCGGTGCGGTAATCTCTTTACTGAGACATTTAACAGAAAGTGATATGAGATAAAATGAAATCTTTTGGGGGACATATTAGAAATTGCTCATTAAATCAGAAAATACAGCCAATAAAAAAGCAAGTAGTTGAACATGCAGGCCCAGCAAAGATGTAATTTATATAAGTCTAGTAAAAGAAAATCGTTTGCCTTATGTCAATTTGAAAGCTTTTTTGCTTTGTTTATTCTTAAAACAGAATGTCAGCAATCTTATGCACACCGACCTATGAGGAAGTTAGTGGGATTTAATTCCAAGTACGCAAGCATAGGATCAGGCTATATACTTGGCTGAGAAAATATAGGATTTTCACTCAATAAACATACAAATAAAGATGTTTCTATTACATTTTCAAATCTACGGTATATTTAATATTACATTTTTTCCAACCAGAACAGGAAAAGTCTGTATTATTAAATTACTCAAGTACCTTAGTACTCATACCCATAAATGCATATGTCTCTGTGTGGGTGTATATTTATTCAGGATAAAAATGCAGTATTAAATAATGACTTGAAGATAGGACAGGAGCACCATCCTGATGTTTAATAATGAGTGCTAATGCTAGATCTTCTCAATTAAGTGTACACCCTGATCCTATGCATGAGGTTAGCTCCTCTTTAAAAGGACCAATTGTAATGAAGTCTGTTCTTTGCAGAGGAAAAAAAAGACTAACACAACTGCTCTACAATCTTGCTCAAACACTGGGGGGAAATGTATATACATAATTCATACATTCCAAGTAGTTCTCTCCAGAAGAAAAGAGGTAATTATCCCAGATTAAACACAAGCAATTTTCCCAGGTGAAACAGATAAATTATTTGGGCATAAGGCAGTCACATTAATTCACTCATAGTTAACAAGGTATTTGTTTAAATTCCCCCTTTAAATCAGTCCAGAGTTTGTGGAAAAAGAACTATCTTCAAACAGAACAGTATGTTATACCAATGAGTAGTGGGAGAATGAATGAGGCAGTGGCACATACATTTCTAAAGATATTCAGAGACATAACCGTGTTAGTCTGGTGTATCAGTATACAGAGGGATCTTGTAGCACCTTTGAGACTGAGAGAAAGAAGTTGTAGCATAAGCTTTCATAGACTTGGTCTGCTTCTTCAGACGCGTGGACTTCTTTCTACAAGCCAGAGTAGTGTAGTGGTTTGAACGCTGGACTATGACTCTGGAGACCAGGGTTTGAATCCCAGTTTGGCCATGGAAACCCATTGGGTGACCTTGGGCAATTCACACTCTCTCAGCCTCAGAGGAGACCATGGCATACCCCCTCTGAACAAATCTTGCCAAGAAAACCCCGTAGGTTTGTCTTAGGGATGCCTTAAATTGGAAAAGACTTGAAGGCACAAATCAGCAACAACACCAAACATAATTACTATAGCTAAGAGGGACGAGATCTCATGTTAATCCTACACAAAGTAGATCCACTGACATGAATACCATGGTGCCATGAGAGCCAGCGTGGCGTAGTGGTTTGAGTGTCAGATTAAAACTCTGGAGACCAGGGTCTCATTCCCACTATGATTTGAAGTGATTTGCTGATCGCTTTATAGGTGCCCCATTCCCATTTGAAACGGTTTCAGATGCGACTGCGATCGTTCAGACTTGCTTGGAAGTGTGACAAATGCAAATAAATTGCTCTTTTCAAATACTAGTTTTTTGGTGCTTCTTTTGAAAAGAAGTGATTGGGATGAGTGTTCCACAAGTGGGAACGACGGATCTGATTCGCAGACAGGGAGGGTGGCAGGTGAACCAGAGGTATTTTTTACAGTTCAGGGGAGACAAAAAGCCCTTGACTGAAAATGGGTGGAAGATGGCCTCCCTCCTGTCCCTGCGCTGCTCCCAGGGGCCTTCCCACCTGCCGTGGGCCCTGAGCCCTGGCGACCTGTCCGGCAAGGCACTCTGAGAAGGAATACGGGCGGTCAAGGTGTGGTCCTCCCAGGGTGGCTTTCTCCCTCCAGCTCAGGTGGAACCATCCGCCTCTCCACCTGAATGCAGGGGCAAGGGGGCACGAGTCTTTGAACTACCGTCCTGGAGGGTGGCAGGTACCTGGCCTCTGGTCAGAGGGAAATGCATCTGCATTCAAAGCTCTCTGGGATGTGATGCAACGTGACACCACTTGCCGCCCAAGAACAGAGGGGGCGCATTGGAGGGCTGCCCCTCGGGGGTGAGGCGCCCAAGTCCTTCCCCTGGACCGCCATTGCGCCTCCGGAGTTTCACTCCGTCAGGTCCGGCACGCCCGAGGGTGTGCAAGGGCAAGGTCGGCCGCAGTGGTGGAAGCTGTGGCGGGCGGAAGGGCCCCCGGGAGCAGCGCGGGGATGGGAGGGAGGCTGTCTTCCACCCATTTTCAGTCAGGGGCTTAGTGGCTTCCACACCAGGTGACCACAGGTCCTCCTTTTCCAGGACACAGTCCTGCCTTTCAGCCTTCTGTCCAAAAGTGTCCTCCATTTTGAAGCACAAGCTCATTCCCACTAGTGGGAACGACATGGAATAAGGACATAATTCGCTTCCATAGTGGGAAACTACGCATTGGCCTAAATCAAATCCTCGACCCGACGTCAATGCGAGTCACAAACCCATTTAAAAGCAAGTGGGAATGAGCCCCAGAGTTCAAATCCTGGCTCTGCTATGGAAATCCACTGGGTGAGCTTGGACAAAGTCACTCTCTCAGCCTCTAGAGACCAGGGGTGAAATCCCACCTTGGCCATGCAAACCCATTGGGTGACCTTGGGAAAGTCACACTTTCTCAGCCTCAGGGGAAGGCAATGGTAAACCCCCTCTGAACAAATCTTACCAAGAAAAACTCCATGATTGTTTCACCTTGGAGGCACTATAAATTGGAAACAACCTGAAGGAACACCACCCTCCACACAATAACAAAGATAATTAGATAGTAGAGACTAGATCTAACATTAATCCTACACAGAATAGACCCACTGACATGAATGGGACTTTTGATCCCAGTTAATAAATTCCAATGAGATAAAGAGGTTTATTGTAGATAGCAGTAAATCTGGATTTAGCCCAAAGCTTTTTGAACATGAAGCCAAACCATTCACAAGTTTAGAAATGACTTCCCTCCCCATTCACTGACTACATTGGGATGTTTGGACAAAACTTTGTAATCAATGTAACACTTTTCAGGTTCAAGTTTTCTTACATAAAAACAACCATATCCAAGATGATACTGGGATGACAGTTTTGGGCATACTATTCTTCTATACAAAGTGGTTAGCGCACTGGTCGGTTCCTGTTGCAAGGAAAAGTAAACCAACAATGTGCAACGTGTCAGCCAGCTGGTGTGTGTTGGGAAGGCAGGAGTTGGGAAGCTCCAGTTACTACCCGGAGAACAGGAGAATGGCTGTCTGTCTGGAGACACAGGATTCCTAAACAAGGGATCAACTCTCTAGGACTGGAAGGGAGAGGGTTTTTTTTAACATGCTCCTGCATTCAGAGACAAACACCAGGATGCAAAGGGCTGCACCTTTGTGGCTTAACTGCGCAATGCAAGAGGCATCAGGATGCAAAGGAATCTTGTAGCACCTCTGAGACTTTGAAACAGTTCCTCTCAAAGGTGCTGCTACAAGATCCCTTTGCATCCTGATGCCTCCTGCATTGTGAAGGAGCCCAGTCCTAGCATGTCTTGGCAATAAACCTCCCCATACCCAGTCCTCACCTGTTGCAGGCTTTATTATTATTTTTAAATGTGCATTTTTGCAAAGCCAAGGCTGCACTTCTGGTCAGTAAACAGCTTTGCCATTCCCTCTTCCTTTGACAATAAGTGTCAAAATAAATGTCAAAACCACAAGTGTGGGGTTTTTTTTGCAAAGCTCAAACTACCAGGCTGTTTCTTTCTTTCAACTTGACTGTGAAAGAACCTAATAGCCTGAGTTTTGGTAGACATAAATCTATTTCCTCAGGAGCACAAGGAAGTAAGCTCAAGCCTAGCACAACTCAGGCTACCACTTTCTCTTTCTTTCTTTCTTTCTCTTTCTTTCTTTCTTTCTCTGAGACTGGCTGAAAGTAACTGGTAGCCTGAGCTTTGCTAGACCTGAGTCTATTTCCTCAGGTGCATAAGGAAGTAAGGTCAAGTCAACAACAACTCAAGCTATCACTTCTTTCTTTCTTTCTTTCTTTCTTTCCTCCTTCTTTCTTTCCTTCTTTCTCTCTTTCCTTCCTTTCTCTCTTTCCTTCCTTCCTTCCTCCTTTCGTTGTAGCCTGAGCTTTGCTAGACCTGAGTCTATTTCCTCAGGTGCATA